CTGAGATACGTAAGTTGGGAGGAAGCCAAACCTTTTGTCTTTTGAGGGAGACTCAGTGCCCATGGTTTCAGCTGAGGACCAATTCTTATATTCTTTTTTACAACCACTGTTGTGGGAACCATAGTTGGAATTTGGGTTCAAACTGCAAGAAGCAGCACTTGTGCCACCTGCTGCATTGTGTGTTTACACGGTCCCAGGTCACAGTGAGCCTGAGTCCTGCCTGGGGTTGTCTTCAGTCCAATGGATGCTAAAGGAGCCAAGTGACTGAGCAGAGGGGGACTGTTTGAGTCTAGGTGGCAGATGTAGTAGTAACACAATTTGACCCTTAATACTCCTTAGAAATGGCAAGGGGTCTTTATGTACTTGGTCCTCACTACAAATTGGTAAGCTGCTGTGCATTCTCACAATTTATCACCCTGCTTCTGTGCCTTTGCTGGCTGCATATAACTAATGCTAATGACAGCAGAATGTGATAAGAATATAGGAATAGAGAGCGTGCTATGCAATGTCAGAGAAAGGTGTGACGAAGCCCAGCTTTTAAGATGCAGCGCTGCTTATGTTAGACTGATGCTCAAAGCAGTCAGTGCCTTGTGAAGTTCACAGAGCTAAGGAGGCGTGGAACTGAAACAAGAATCTGAAGCTTGCGATTCCCAGCCCAGAGGTCTCTGAGAAGAGCAAGCTGCCTCTGAGAATCGATCAGTGGAGCTGCAGAGTGTGCTGGGCTCCTGCCTTCGCACTCTGTTCACTGTTGCAGACCAGGCACACCCCCGAGCCCAGCTCATCGGTGGGCTTTGAAGTTCATCTTCCAACTCCCTTGGCCTGATAATAACTGTCTGCTTGGACCTCTACTAAGCCTCCCTTAGATGCCGTGGGCCACTTCTTCATTTTCCACACCACATTCTTAGTATCATATGCCTTTCCATTCAAAACCATTTGTTTATAAAAGAAATTTGGAGTGCATATCCTTAATATGTCTATATTTATTAATAAATTACATTCATGTACTAGTATGTATTTTCTATTTTATCTCTCTTTATATATCTACCTACGTACCTACCTACCTACCTATCAAGTCTATTTTGTGAAGGATTTGAAAATTGAAATAAAAAAGGCATTGGATAAAAATAAATATCAGCAGGAGTTCTAAAATGTCTCTTCTGATCATCAGTGGGTTGTTGTGTCCCCCATTTCCTTTCCCCAAAGGAACCCTGTTTACTGTTAGGAGAATGAATTCCAGATATTGTCATTTTAATTGCTACAGTCCTGTCTTTATTTCTGTTGCTACTCGTCTTGTTCAGATTTAAACCTCCACTCATCTTTATAGTTTTAAAAATTTGTTTGCACAACACAACGTGTATTAGTCAGGGTTCTCCAGAGAAACAGATATGTATCTAAACAGGTCTATGTCTATGTCTATGTCTATGTCTATGTCTATGTCTATGTCTATGTCTATGTCTATGTCTATCTGTCATCTATCTATCATCTATCTATCTATCTATCTATCTATCATCTATCTATCTATCATCTATCTATCATCTATCATCATCTATCTGTCTATCATCTATCTATCTATCTATCTATCTATCTATCTATCTATCTATCATCTATCTATCTATCTATCATCATCTATCTATCATCTATCTATCTATCTATCATCTATCTATCTATCATCTATCATCTATCTATCAATCAATCATTGAGAGACAACGAATTAAGATTTATTTTAAGGAACTGGCTGATGTAATTATGGAAACTGGCAAGTCCAAAATCTTCAGGGCAGGCCAAAGACTGGAAACAAACTCAGGTGGAATTTTTATGTTATTATGTGGAGGTAGATTTGCTTCTCCTTTGGGGAACCTCAACCACGTTATGGAGGGTAATCTGCTTTACTCAAAGTCTACTGATTTAAAGGTTGTATCTAAAAAAAATACCTTCATAGCAACATCTAGATCGGTGTTTGACCAAACAACTGGGCACCATAGCCTCGCCGCATTGCACATAAAATTAACCACACCCCTATCATGATTGTTCTGTTGGAACTTTTGAGGTAGCCGCCTCACTTATCCCCACGCCTACTTCCAGTTTTCCCCAAGAGGACCTTTGAAGGAAAGACTTTGGCATGGGGGAGTTTGTTTGAGTCTAAGCAGCATAAGTAATAATCTTCACTGCAATATTGTGATTCCCAAAACACAGTTATATAAAATTTAAAGCTCTTTGCAGCCTGAACCCCTCCTACTTTCCAGCCTCATCTTTCCTGTCACTGCCAGACTTATGTACCGTGTAGTTATCCACAAGCTACTCTTAGTTCTTCAAATGCACTGATAATTTTCCTGTATCTATATGTGGCTTTGCTTTATGGAACAGAGCAGCACTTATATAAGGCAAAATACAAGATGATAGGAATAAAGAAGGGACTGTGGGAAAACAGAAATTGATGTGAAAAATTCAAGATTTTGAGATCTGAAAAAACTTCATTAAGGTGAGGGAAGGGGGAAGTAGATGGTGTTATAGGCAGAATTATTCCCCGCCTTCATATGTTGAAGTCTTAACTCCTAGTACATCAGAATGTGACCATATTTGAAGACAGGATCTTTGCAGAGGTAATTAGGCTAAAAAGAGGTTGTTAGGGCAGGCCTTAATCCCTAATCCAGTATGACTAGTGTCCTTTTAAAAAGAGGAGATTTGGACACAAACATGCCCAGAGAAAAGATGATATGAGGACACAGGGAAAAGCAGCCATTTACAAGCCAAGGGGAGAGGCCTCAGAAGAAACCAAACCTGCTGAAATGTTGATCAGAACTGTGAGAAAATAAATGTTTGTTTGCAGCACCCAGTCTGTGGCACTTTTTCATGGTAGCCCTAGCAGACTAATAAAGGCGGAGTGAGGAAGGGCTCCGGGAGCACAGAGTGAGCTAAAGCTGAGAGGTAATAAACTAGTAGAGTGTTATGTTTGTGGATTATGCATCTGAGTTACTACTACATACAATTAAATACATACTAGGTTACAACTGATTTCCAGAATGTGTTGGAAATTTGCTCAGTACTTGAATGAACCATCCGTACTATCAACATGACTGAGAACTGTTGATATTGACCTTGGTCACTTGGCTCAGGTAGTGTTTGTCAGATTGCTCCACTGAAAAGTTACTCTTCTGTACTACACTCTTAAAAGTTAAAAAAAAAAATCCTCACCTGAGGATATGTTTTCATTGATTTTTAGAGAGATGAAGGGAGAGAGAGAGAAAAAAAATTGGCTGTGAGAGAAACATCAATCACTTACCTCCCCTACGAGCCCTGACTGGGGATCAAACCTGCAACGTAGGTATGTGCCCTCATCGGGAATCGAAACAGCAATCTTTTGGTGTATGGGAAAATGCTCCAACCAACTGAGCTACCCAGCCAGGGCTGTACTACATTCTTGGAAATGAAGTCACCGTGTGCAGCATGCATTTAAGGGTGGGTACTCTTAGTTAAACACAAAACACAAAAAAATGTGAAGAAGATTTTTATCAACTGGTGTGAATGATGATGTTGCTGGATTATGAGGGGTAGCAAAAAAGAAAAAAGAGACTATGCTTTTTTGGTTAATTTGTTTTGTATCAGAAAATATACCCCATAATGTGGCTATGAGAAGTAAGAAAAATGTTGATTTGAACTTTGTAATTTGTCGAATAAAATTATATTTCAACCTTGGGCCTTCTTTGTTGATTTAATTAAGGCAATCAGTTCTTATCTGCACCACTGTACGCTTATCTGTACCACTGGGACTGCTATGCTATTATTGCAGTCAAAAAAGGAAAGATTAAAATTGGTTGGTCTTTCATTATTAACTGAAAGGTTATAAAACATTGTTTTCTTAAAGGCAGTTCCTCGACAGTTACATTTATTGGGTAGTCATAGTCTATGTGGATTTTTCATAGTCTTTTCCTAGACTAGCATTTCTATTACATATGGGCATAAGGCTTCATTACCTCCCTCTAGTGGTCAGCTTTATAATTTCAGATTCTTGGATAAATTTAGCAAAAAATAAAATTTGTGGCAATCCTCATGGTAACTTCCCGTAATATTTTAATATGGATGCTAAAATGACATGGTGATTGAATCTTGGCTATGCCTTTTTGGATTAGAGCTAACTTTTAAATGAGGTAGTGTTTTAAGGTGGTAATTATAACTTGATTAAAAGCTACGGTGATGAAGACAGTAGTCTAGGCAGAGGCTTACTTAGCTAGTTATACTAAGAACCTTAGTAGCCATTTAATTTTAGCCAGGGAATTGAATTTGGCTTCTCGCAAGTGTTTTATCAGGGCTGTAGGAACAAGTGCATATTCTAGATAAACTCGAAAGCTACAAAGCTTTATGAGACCAGGAGTGAGGGAGTCCTCTAGAGCATTGTTTGTCATTCCTCCACAGATAAAAACTTTATCTCCAGTGCCAGAAATGGCCTTCTTTTTGAGCTCCATATCAGTATTTTTTATTTTACCATGGCTTTAAAAAGATGCAGCTTTTTTTTTTTTTTTTTTTTAATAGGATCCTATCTCTGGATATGCTTAGAAGGTTGAAATAATTTACCAGAATTTGAAACAGGTTTTTGTCTTGTTCTTAATAGAAATACCTTAGGTACTAGTCAGTTGAATGAGTTCTAGTGTTTGTGCCCCGACCCAGAGTTTTTGTTCCATTGAGATCCAGAGGGTGTGACATTTAAGGAAAAGTAACTAAATCAATGTGAAACTTGCCAGTCTCCTTAGATGTGGTCCTGATTAGTACTAAAGCACAACTCGAGAGGCAGCAATCCACTAAGCATTGCTTCTGTTCAGAAATAAGAAGGAAGAAATTCCTACCGAGAACCCGTATTAAAGCGGTGGTCCATTTGTGTCTATTTGTGATACTTTTGTTGGTTATGATCCCACATGCACAGAGTTAAGGAAAGCCGATATATCTATGTTTCTCTGTTTGGAAGTACCTTAAGTAACAAGGCCACCTGTCTCTCGTTGCTCACCCAGCTGCATCTGATCCACTGGAACTCCACCCTGTTTGGCAGTATTGATGAGGCTGTGGGGAAGCCACATGGAATCGCCATCATTGCTTTGTTTGTTCAGGTAAATGGTCTCCGATGATTGTTGTATTGTTCAAATGCTTGTTTCTGGTTCATTTTGCAGAATATATATATTTATGAAATCACCACCATGATAAGTCTCTAGTAACCATCTGTCACCATAAAAATTTTTACAATATTATTGACTTTGTCCCCATGCTGTACATTACACTCCTATTACTTATTTATTTTATAACTGGAAGAGTGTACCTCTTAATCCCCTTCACCTATTTGTCCATACCTCCTACCCCATTCCCTCTGACAACCACCAGTTTGTTCTCTGTATCTGAGTCGGTTTCTGCTTTATTTATTTGTTTTAGCTTCCACATATAAGTGAAATCATGCAGTATTTGTCTTTCTGCCTGACATATTTTATTCAACATAATACCCTCTAGGTCTATCCATATTGTTGCCAATGGCAAGATTTCATTCATATGGCTGAGTAATATTCCTGCGTGTGTGTGTGTACGTGTTTAATATATATTACATCTTCTTTACCCACTCATCTTTTGTAATAGCCACCTAGTTTGCTTCCATATCTTGGCTATTGTAAACAGTGCTGCAATAAAATTAAGGGTGCGTATCTTTTTCAATTAGTGTTTTTATTTTTTGGATATATACCCAGAAGAGGAATTGTTAGATCATATGGTAGTTCTGTTTCTAATTTTTTGAGGAACTTCCATACTGTTTTCTGTAGTGGCTGCACTAATTTACAATCCCACCAACAGTGCACAAGGGTTCTCTTTTGTCCATATTCTCGCCAACACTAGTTATTTGTTGTCTTTTCGATAATAGCCATTCTGCCCGGTGAGGTGATACCACATTATGGTGTTAATTTTTATTTCCTTGATGATTAGTGATGTTAAGCATCTTTTCACTAAACTGTTCCTTTAGTCTATGTGTCTCTTTTGGTGGGACATTGTGTAACTTACTAAGTAATCATCCCTGTGAATCTCACACCCACCTGACACCACACATATTTAATAGAATATTATTGACTATATTCCCTATGCTGTACTTTACATCCACATAACTGTTCTGTAACACCAATTTGTACTTTTTAACCCCTTCACCTTTTTTACCCATCCTCCCCAACCACCCTCCCCATTCCCATCTGGCAACTATCAAAATATTCTCTGTTTACGAGTCTGTTTCTGTTCTGCTTGTTCATTTATTTGTTTAGATTTAATTGTTGATAGATATGTATTCATTGCCATTTTATTGTTCAAATGTTTGATCTTCCTTTTTCTTTTTCTTTTTAAAGAAGACCCTTTAACATATAATACTGGTTTGGTGATGATGAACTCCTTTAGTTTTTTTTTGTCTGGGAAACTCTTTATCTGCCCTTAGATTCTAAATGATAGCTTTGCTGAGTAGAGTAATCTTGGTTGTAGTTCCATGTTTTTTATCACTTTGAATATTTCTTGCCTGTCCCTCTGGCCTGCAAAGTTTCTGTTGAGAAATCAGCTGACAGTCTTATGGGAACTCCCGCGTAGGTAACTAACTGATTTTCTTTTGCTGCTTTTAAGATTTTCTCTTCTTTAACCTTTAGCATTTTAATTATGATGTGTCTTGCAGTGGGCCTCTTTGGGTTCATCTTGTTTGGGACTCTCCGTGCTTGATGTGGTCCCAGAGTTCCCTTAAACTATGCCCATTTTTAAAAATTCTTTTCTCCCTTTTGCTGTTGAGCTTAGGTGATTTCCACTATATCAGATCACTGATCCGTTCTTCTGTATCATCTAATCGGCTGTTGATTCCCTCTAGTGTAGTTTTCATTTCAGTTATTGTATTCTTCAATTCTGGATGGTCCTTTCTTAATTTTCTGCCTCTTTGTTGAAGTCCTCAGTGCATTCATCTGTTCTCCTCCTTAGTTCAGTAAGCCTCTCTATGATTATTACTTTGAATTTTTTAACAGGTAGATTGCTTAACTCTATTTTGTTTAGTTCTTTTTTCTGATGTATTTTTTTGATATTTTGTTTGGAACATGGTTATTTGTCTCCTCATTATACCCAATTCTCTATGTTTCTATGCATTAGGTAGATCAGCTATGTTTCCTGGGCTTAAAGATGTGACCTTGTGTAGGAGATGCCCTCTGGGCCCCGCAGTGCAATTCCCACTCTGGGCACCAAAGCCAAATGCTCCAGAGGTGTGCCCTGTGTGGGCTTCATGCACCATTCTCTTGTGGTGGGGCTGTAACTGCTGAGGGCACACTGGTGGGTGGGGGTATCTGGCTGAGGCACAGGCATGGGCAGGACTCTCAGACGGGTGTGTGCCCTGGCACTGGCAGGCTAGCAGGAAGATTCTAAAATGCTACCTACCAGTGCTAGGGTCTGCACAAGAGAACAAGATCACAAAAGTGACTTCCACCAGTGTCTCAGTCCCCAGAGAAAGTCCCAGCTGCCCCCTACCTCTCCAGCATGCACTTCAAGATTAGCAAGTTGAACTCCTTAACCTACAGCCCATGTACTTTTCTATCTGTTGTTTTTGCACTGATTTCTAGGTCAAGCAAGTCTGTGTGTGAGCCCTTAAGGGCAGGTTTTTCTTTTCCATTGTTTTCCTGGATGCATTCTCCTTGGATTTTGAAAGCCAGGTATTCTGGGGGCTCGTCTCACCTGTGCAAGATCATGTGCCTGATGTGGAACTTGAATCCCTGGGCTCCTCAGTGAAAAGTTCTGTACCTTTGAGATCCCTCCAGACTATGAAATACCTCTGCTGGGGTGTGGTTTTTCCCTGAGTGGGACCACATTTCTGCCTCTCCTACCCTTCTTGGTGCTGTCCCTTGTTGTGGAGGCTTTGTTCATTCATTTTCCAGGTCCCCTTTAAAGGGAATTATTCCCTATGCACCTGTAGATATTTTGTGTTTGTGGGAGGAGGTGAGCTCAGGATTTTTCTATACTGCCATCTTGCACTGGAACCCAGAGTATTTGTTGGTCTCCCTAAATTTTATGACCTAGTAGTGACATTAAACACATATACAGAGAACAGTGACAATTTAAAAGTAGAAAACTCGATCTTTGTGGGTCATGAGAGAGCAGCCACATTCATCGGTAGAAACTGGTTCATTTATTTGTTAGATATTTTCTTCAGAGTGCCATTCAGGGACCTTGGAGAAGTGATTTAGAAAATGTCTTCTGAAAGCAGAGTTCATTTTATTAATGAAAAAGAATTTGAAAATATTTTTGGACTCTGGCTTACTGCAAAACCTGAGAAAAATCAATAATATAATCATGTAGTAGATTCCTTTTGTTCTTTGTTATTAATAATTTTCATTCCAAGATGCTTTGAAGTGACTTATAGAAAACATGGATAAAATAAGACTGGCAAGGACCTTGGTAGATATAGTCAATATAAAGTTTGGATTTGACCTCTGTGGTGGACAAAGGATATTACATAAATTTAGTGAAATGTACAAAAGGGGACCATATGCTTTCAAAGGTAAAAATTTAATTGAAGGTGAATGATGGCCAGAGGGAAGGGGAGGGGGTAGCTGGGTCTGGATGGAGGTGGGCAAAGGGAGGGATGGGGACATCTGTAATAGTCAATAATAAAAATAAAGTTATAAAAACAACCCCCCCAATTAATCTAATTCCTGAGGTGAATCTATTTAACTTTGTTGTCTTATATGCTTGATGTGAAAAAGATTTAGAGGTGAAAGAAATCCTGGAAATTTTAGGCTTCTACTTCCCTTGTTTTACAGAAGAGAAACCAACTGCTAGAGAGGTCAGGCCATTGTTTATAGTCACACAGTGATTTAATGTTACCACTCAGGAGGGACCAGAAACCATTCTTCCACTCTGTGTGGTTCCAGAAATAGGAGGCAATGTCTCATTCTTTTAAAAAAATAATAAAAATAGGAATGCCAACAACCAAATAGTCACATATACAAGGAAAGGGACAATTAGAGCATTGGATGGAAAGCCAAGACTTTTGAAACTAGCATGAGTATTTCCAGGACCAAGCTCAATATTGGAGGCAAGGGGAAGCTGGAGAGCATGCACACTTGTTCTAACTTTCCATAAGTTTGCTATGAGGGAAAATACGGGTTATCTATGTGAAAATGCCTTTCAGGAGAAAGTAAAATGACACCAACCATGAGAGCAAAATTTCAGGAAGGAAAAGAGGGCTGATCAGGATGGTCAACCGAAGCAGAGAGGAGAGGGACTGGAGTTCATCCCAGGATGTCACACTTAGGTGAGGAAGTGGGAGGAGAGAGCCTCAAGGCAGTGAGTATAGACGTCCCTTTCAAGAAGTTCAATAAAAGCAGGACAAAAGAGGCAATAACATGGGGATGTATAATGAAGACCTCTTTGTTTCATTTTGAGAGCTGAGATTTGCCTGTGTTTTTATTCTGAGCAAAAAAAAGCCAGCACAGATGTAGGTTTAAAAAATACCAGCAAGAAAGGGGATAATAGAGCATAGGAAAATCCTGGAGGAGGCAGGAGGGCATGGGATGGAGACCATATGACATGTGTGTGGAATAACCTTGGATAGGAGGGGGCCCACCCTTCCTTCAAAATAGAGAGCCAGGAGGAAAAGGGGGGTAGAAAGGGGATGAATTTGTAGGTGGAAAAGGCAGGAAATTAGGGAAGTTCATGCCTGATGACCTTTATTATTTCTGAGAAGAGAATGCAAAATTATTTATAGAGCAAAGGAAATGTGGGTTTAGGGTTGGGTTTTGAAATAGCCCAGAAGAAGAATGATAATAGACTGGACAGTTGATGTGGGAGACCCACTTGAGACTGGTTATCCCAGATGGTACAGTACAACGTACTGTGGGTTGTCCTCTATCCAGGCAGAGGAGCAGAGAATTTAGCAAATTGCTCTGCCGATCCGTTGCATGGTAGATGATTCAGGAGAGCAAAAGGATTAGATAAGCTAGAGTGTTTGAAGAGGTGTCATTCAGTGTAGGAAGAAGGGAAAGAGACAAAGCCAAGAGTCTCCTGAAAGTCTTGGCTCCTTGTACTTCTTTAATGTGATGAGAGAGGAGAGAGGTGGACAGGTGAGAAGTTTCCAGAGTGAAAACAAATCCAGGGTGTGTTCTCAGGATTGGTTTGCAGAGGTAGAATGGGACTGAAAGCCATAGACTGAGGGTAGAGACATGCCAGGGAGGGGACAGGTCACTAACATGGATGTTGAAGTCCTCCAGAGTGATGGCAGGGGATGATGACTGCCAGGGAGTGACCAGTGGGTAAGCAAATGGCAAGTAGAACATGATAGCAGCAGTGGCAGATGGTCCACTCAGAGGACAGCCTTATGCATGTAGGTCTGAGTATTGATCTGAAGGCAATAGCAGGGCACTGATCACAGCTTTCAGTCTTACATGAGGGAGACTGCACAGTGTCGACTCAGCCTGGGGGAGCTGTGATCTTGGGTGAACCTCAGGGGTTCACATAGACCAGGAGGTGTGATAGGAGAGCTTGTCAAAGATTTGGAGTCCTCTGTCCCAGAGGCCATCGTGGAAAATACAGGGCCATGCAGGACTGAAATTCTAGGAAAGGAAGCTGACCAGAGGGCTTGCATTTTGGGTGGTGGTGAAAGATGGCAAAGGTGAGAGGTAAGAAGTTAAGTCGTCTCATGGCTCCTGGTGGACTCTTGGCACCAGGTGTGTTGTCACCTGGGCTACTGTAGGATTTTTGGGGTTAGGGTGTGCAGGGTATGATCTATATACACTTGCTCTTTGTTTTTGCAACCTCTGCAGACAAAAATTTAGCAGAGGAAGAGAGGAAAGAGATGGAACAGTAACTTGAGTTTCCGGCAAGACATAAAGCTTTGCCCACAAAGTAAAGAACCGATATAGATAGAAGGAGCCAGTAATAATTAGTAAGTGCTACTATAGATAAGAACTTATTTGATACTGAAAGGCATTCTGAGTAAGAATAATATGGGTGGTATTAATGGAATTATAATGCACCATGCCCTGTTCTAAGGCCTTTGTTTGATTTAGTCTTATTTTCATCTCTATCACTTTTAAAATTTTTATTTTATTTTTAATCTTCACCCGAGGATATTTTTCCATTGCTTTTCAGAGAGAGTGGAAGGGGGAGAGAGAGAGAAATATTGATGAGAGAGAGACACATTGATTGGTTGCCTCCCCCACGCACCGCAACTGGGGCCGGAGATCGAGCTGCAGCTGAGGTACGTGTCATTGGCTGGACTCGAACCCAGGACCCTTCAGTTTCTGGACCAATGCTCTAACCACTGAACAAAACTGGCTAGAGCTCAACCCTATTGCTTTTGTCCTTTGCACTGTAGAGATGAGACGGGGGTTAAGTAAACTAGCTAAGGCTGAAGCGTGAGTCAGAGTCAGAACCCAGGCGTCCAACACAAGTGACCTGCCTCCTGAGCCACTGCTTTATGCGGCCTGACAGCATTCAGGGGTGGACTCTTCATAGTTACAGTCCCACAGAGACGCAGGAAATGAAAACGACCCCCAGCCTGAGGCATGGACATCCAAACGCAGCATCATGGTTAAACCAGTAATGCAAAGAAAGGCCCATTTCCGCCTGAAGACCTGGTGAGGCTTCTGCTTAAAGGTCCAGGCTTTTGCACTCAGGAACACACTTGCCTCAGGTTTTTTTGGTTTTTTTGTTTGTTTTTTTTTAATTTAGATAACTTATTTTCTGTTTTTAGAGCCTACCTCAGGAATGGCAAACACTTGGAAAATAAAGTATTGATTATTTTGAGCCGATTGGCATATCTTAGATTGTGCAGATTTCTTATCTCTTTTTCTTTCCTCCTTGAGGCCCTTTCCCCTAGCATGTTCCATGATTGGTTCACATAGAGAGAAACAGAGAATATAAGCATGTTGATAGCTACTCTAGCTCCTTACAGGTCATTCCCTGAAAATGTCTGTGCAAGAGAAAAAGCGAATGATAGCAATGATTATCTGAGGTTATAAACCGTCCCTGCCCTTATTGTGCTCCATTATCAGGGACCACTGAAACTTGGTTGAAAAGTGGAAATCAGATTGCACTTAAAATTTTTAAAAGTAAAGTCTAGAATACTTAATGTAAGATTTCTTTAAAGTCTCAAATTCTTTGGAGCATTTTATACATGAAAAAGATGTAATGATGTGTTATGTTTCAGAATAGAAAGTCATGAACCTCAAATTATTATTTGAGAATGAAAAGGTGATTATAGAAATTATGTCCAGTTGTAATCAAGAAATGCCCTGATATTGGTGACTTTAGCATATAAAATCACATACCCACTTTTCTGAGTTAATACAATTTTTCAACACTGATAAAATCTTTGTAATAATGATCTAGAAATGCCAGAGGTAAAAATGGAAGGATTTGGGCATGTGATGAGTAATTTTGATTCAGAAATATTCTTGAAAGTTTTATATTGCTGTATTATATGATTTGCCATATTTGTAGCACAGTAGGTGATGCCTTATACACAGCATGATGAATTTAGAATGGATTCTTGGAAGTGTTCAAGAACATATCTAGTATTTGACTGTGCTAGCTCCTGTTACAACTTCAATTACCTTCAGTAAATGCTGACCTGGTTATTAATGAAAAGGTCATTTAATTATTCCCCAAGAAGGAAATCCCAGTGGACTTGATCCTTGCTTCTACAACTAGTTATTTTGAGTAAAAGCAAAGTGTTTAATACTTTTGTGGTTATGGGTTGTGCTTTATATATTTCAGATAGGAAAAGAACATGTAGGCCTAAAGGCTGTGACTGAAATCCTCCAGGATATTCAGTATAAGGTAAGTCATTGTTTTAAAGAAAATAAAAAACCTGGTTGTCTAAGAGGTCCCCCAAGGCCACCCTCAGGCTCGATGAGTCACTAAAGGGACTCAGAGAAAAGCTGTTATTCTCATGGTTGTGGTTTATTGCGGCAGAAGGAAACGGATGAAAAAACAGTGCAATGAAAGGCCTATGGGCATAGTCAGGAGAAGCCAGGCACAGCTTTCAGGTGGAGGGGTGTGGGGACGCACCTGTGTCCCAGCGGTGATGTGGCACCAGCGGTGAGGTGTTGCCAACCAGTGAAGCTTACTTGACCTTGGGGTATAGGATTTTCCTAGAGGTCGGCCACACAGGCATGCAGTACCTATGTGACTGACTTCAGCTACTCAGACCCCAGCTCTCCCACCCTAATCCTCAGCAGAACTAGACATTCACCATAAATCACATTGTTAGGACCAACTTATCTGGTCAGACTGGTACAGCATGGGCCAAGGCCTGCAGCATACAACATTCTTTAAGACAGAATGTTCCAGGGGCTCAGAGATGATCACCCAAGAGACAGCCAAGGGCCAGTTTGTTTGTTTTTAAGTTATTTCTTTAAAAAAATTTTTTTGAATAAATTTTTGTTTTATTTTTAGTTACAGTTGACATATTATATTAACAAGGGCCAGTCTTGAAGACAGGCCATTTTTTTGAAATGCGAGGATTTGAGCAACCCAGGCCTGCTGAGTTAACACTTTCTGAAAGTTGTGTAAATGAAACAAAAAAAATTGTGGCAACCATACTTCACAGTATTTATGTAAAAAAAAAAAAAAAGTACACATAAGCCATAAGTTCACATATCCCAGAGAAGGTGATGAAGATTGATTTGACCCTGCAGTGACTCAGCCTAGCTTTGCTGGGAAGCCAGGTTCTGTTGTAAACAGTGCCTTTTATGCTTACATTAAGTCAGTAGAATCTGAGTGGCCTTGGAGGGTAATAGTTTAATCCTGTATAGCTACTGGAGATACAGAACAGATTCAAAGACCCAAAGCCAGCCCTAAAATCCATCTGAAGTGTGGTTGACTCTATGCTAGCACAAGCCCATTGTTGCTTCTTTTTAAAAAAATTATTTTCATTATCTTTATTGTTGAAAGTATTACTGATGTCCCCTTTTCCCCCCCATTGATTCCCCTCTACCCTGCATC